CTGTTAACAACAGCTGGTAAAGGTAGTAGACTGTTAACAACAGCTGGTAATGATAGCAACCCGCTAAGGTAGGAAATTCGTGATAATGAAAGCAACTTTGTAATTATGTTCGCTAGTTTTCATGTTAAAAGCTCTAATCAAACATTTCTAGTGTTTTTGTCATACACATCAATCATAATCATTATCATCATCATCATTATCATTATCATCACAGCGGCGGGCTGGTCTAAATCCTAGCGTTGCTTAAGTAAGTTTATTTAGGCACAGGTACACACAAATACAGTTACACAAATTATCATACATAGTAACATATACAATAAGATCACAGTAAACAGGTGATATCACAGTATGCAAAACAAACACTGTGAAAAAAAAAATAGTGAACTTGAAAACGCTTTCGTAGTTTCTCACATGATAGTAGAATGTATGTAGAATACTTGCCAGGATAACCCAAAAAAGTCAGAATGACTTATTTCCATTGGGGTCCTTGTAATATTTTATCATTACATTATTATTATTATTATGAAGTTGAGGGGGAAACGCTAAACCCGTATGAGTCACAGAACACCTGGGAATGAGAGTGAGGTTCCTTTCTTGGTACAAAGAGTTACATTAACAGTCGTACCTGTGAGACTGTCACAACTGACATTGTTGCTAAGCGTGGCCCCTCAGGGTGAGGCTGGAGGGGGGGGGGTGCCTTGAGACGGGTGAAGGGCTCTTGATCCTAGTAATTGGAGCTTCCCTACCGTTCTTTGAACTAAATTTCGTTACCTATTTCCCAGAGACTCTATGGGTTTTAATTAGCGCTTCCCTTTCAATATGATAACGCCGAGTATGGTTGTTAGTGTAATAACATTAGAGAGTGAGACAGAGGCCAGACGGGCAGGTGTTGAGGTTCACAAGTCAAGGTTCACTATCATAGACCCTCATTAACATCAACTTAATACCTCAAGGCTGATAAAAACCCATACTTACCTGCTAAGAAGAACTCCCACTACACTTTATTGGGAGATTAAGAGTTTTTGTTATCAGTGTATATACTTTTCTAGAACTAATGTGTGTGTATTCACCTAGGTGTGTTTGCAAGGGTCGGGTTGTGACTCCTGGTCGCTCTGAACAACCAGCCAACAGTCAGCGGTGTTTTCCTCCACTATGTTAATCATTTCACTTGGTACCTCTGAGACACAGCTGCCACCTGTATCTTCTGGATACGTCTCCTTGCATTATAAACACCCTGTGTGTGTGTGTGTGTGTGTGTGTGTGTGTGTGTGTGTGTGTGTGTGTGTGTGTGTGTGTGTGTGTGTGTGTCTCTGTCTGTCTGTCTGTCTGTCTGTCTGTGTCTTTGTAATTAGCAGTTTTTTATCCTTTTGAGTTTGTGGGGGGGGGAAAGGGGGGGAAGAGAACACTAGCTCTTGATCCTCATAACTTGCAATAAGCACATTAAAACTAGAATTGGAGGAACTCACTGGTAAAGACCCACTGTGTAGAGTTCCTTTCCAATGTCATTGTTCATTTAATTTAATTAACACTTGTTATATTGAAATATTTTCTGATGGCCTTGTAACTCATAGGGGTGCGTAGTTTTCAAGCTTGCCCTTGTGTACTTGTTTCATACCTTGGGTAAATTCAAATTTATAAAGGAAAGTAAATAATGGTTTAGCAATAGAGTTGTATTTTCAAGGACATGTTAGCAAACACTTGGACAATTATTTAGAAAATCCTTCAGTCCTGGGATCTTCATCATTTCTAACAAAGTATTAAGAATGACATTATATAGACAAAAGCGAGGTGTAAAAGTTGATTCGTGACACAGTACGAGTGAGGCTGAGTAGCCTGAGAGGTCACCGGTGAGGTCAACATGGCTTAATCTAATCAAGTAACAGGTGTGCCATTTTCTTTTACGTTATACCTTCTAGCCTTTTTCTTAATTGAGAGTATCGGTGAGAGCAATCACTGGCACTTCCTGCGTCTATGGTTAGGTTCTGTCACGAGTTGTGCCTCGTTGCAACTCATCGCACGTACTGCTGAGTTCCAATGGAGGACACAGGTGTATTTATGTTCGAAGGTGTATTTATGTTCGTTCAGGCAGATACATAATTTTGCCTGTCTCGCTTACATGTCTTGTTACAGTGTCCACAAGAGATGGTGTAAACACCTGGTGTGCAAGGGGCGTAGTGCTGCGTGTCTTAGTAAGGTCCTTGGTGGAGGATGCTGCTTCCAGCGAGCACCTGGCAGCATTACGACATGGAACCATTAACAACTGCTTCTTATAATAATAATAATAATAATAATTAATATTTATACAAGTACATGTATATGGTATACAGACCATAGCTGACATCAGTGACATACTACTATATAGACCGCTTGTTATGTAGAATATTTCGGGCAAATTAGGCGAGTTTTGTCCCAGGATGCGACCCACATCAGTCGACTAACACCCAGGTACCCATTTTATTGATGGATGAACATAAACAACCGGTGTAAGGAAACACTCCCAATGTTTCTACCCTCGCCTGGGATCGAACCCGGACACTCGCCGTGTGAAGCGAGAGCTTTAGCCACCAAGTCACGGGGCATTGAAAGGTTTCATAAAAGTTTTGTTAGTTCCTTGGGGGTTCTGTTGAAAATGCAATGAAATTGCAGTCCCAGAGGTTTCTCTCACGTGAATATTTTTTTGCTGCTCACTTCTCTGTTCTCTTCACGTTGAGTTCGTTACACAGGTTTACCGTGAGTGTTGGTGGTGACAGTGGTAGTGTGTGGTAGTGGTGATTGTGGTATTACTGGACTGGTATCGGAGTCAGTGAGGAAGGAAAAACTAGGGTCAAGGGGTGAAAGCGGGACAAGGTGTGGTGGTGGTGGAGGGGGGGGGGGGATGGAAAAGTCCTTGTGTGTGCGTGTGTACTCACCTAATTGTGGTTGCAGGGGGTCGAAACTCAGCTCCTGGCCCCGCCTCTTCACTGACCGCTGTTAGGTCCTCTCTCTCCCTGCTCCATGAGCTTTATCATACCTCGTCTTAAAACTTATGTATAGTTCCTGCCTCCACTACATCGCTTGCCAGACTATTCCACTTCCTAACTACTCTATGACTGAAGAAATACTTCCTAACATCTCTTTGACTCATCCGAGTCTTCAGCTGCGTGCGTGTGCATGTGTGCGCGTGTGCATGTGTGTGTGCATATACTCGCCTAATTGTACTCAGGTAATTGTGTTTGTGTGTATGTGTAGTGCTTAAATAATAGCTATAGTGCTTAGCTGAATAATGGTCGCTATGCCGTGACTGTAAGAATTCATAGCTAACTCAGAGTGGAGATAAATCTTAACACGACCTCTCGCTGCTTCCTGAACCATTATCAAGAGCCGAGTTAACTGATAAAATGATCCAGGAGGGACCGAAATAATCTCTCAGGATTAATCTCCAATTTTTGGGGTTTGGAGTGCTTAAAGATAATGGATATAAAGATATTTACTGGAATGTATTTGATTACTTATTTATTTCACCTATTTAATTTTATGGACGAGTGTTAAACCAGTAGGGGTCATACAGCGCCTCGGGAATAACATAAGGGCTCTTTGAATTCAAGGGCTCAAGGCGCTTGAAGGGGCAGAAAGTTTACACCGCAGAAGTAGTGCTTAAATAATGGAAATATTTATTAATTAAGGCATATAAGGTTTCACTAGCAGAGATCGTTCTTTGATAATGGATATTGTTTTTAGTTAATATCAACTGCCTTAGCCTAGGAGTGAGAATTGTGGCTTTCTCTTCAAATTCATTACCTCTGTAACTTGCTCAGCTATCAAAACTTTGAGGCCCAGTCCCTGGACCAATTATGTACCTCTGTAATCTGAAGATTGAGACACTTATGCAGCATATGGGAATCTTTATTCAGGAAACGTTTCGCCACACAGTGGCTTCATCAGTCCAATACAAAGAGGAAGGCGTAAGGAGAGGAGGAGAATGAGGTAATCAGTCCCTCAACCTGGAGTCGATGTGTTCAGTCCATCAATCTTGTAGAATGTACAGCATAGGGCCGTAGACGTGGCTTATATACTGTAGTGAGGTGACGTGAAGCAGATGGAGGCGGGGTCATAGTGGTACCATCCACTAGTCGAAGTAGGTCTTCGTCCAAAGGTTGAACAAGTGTTGAAGAATTCTTTGTAACAAGACCCCATGATGCTGCTGTGTCTGACACCTCACTACAGTATATAAGCCACGTCTACGGCCCTATGCTGTACATTCTACAAGATTGATGGACTGAACACATCGACTCCAGGTTGAGGGACTGATTACCTCATTCTCCTCCTCTCCTTACGCCTTCCTCTTTGTATTGGACTGATGAAGCCACTGTGTGGCGAAACGTTTCCTGAATAAAGATTCCCATATGCTGCATAAGTGTCTCAATCTTCAACTTGTCGGTTTTTCAAACCATTCATCACACCTCTGTAATCTTTTGACTACCGCCCACAGGATGGGTATGGGGTGCATAATAAACATATTAAACTAAGGTCCTGCGTTATAAATCTTCGGGCAGAGATTAATATTGATCCAGAGGCAGTATCTGGACTAATATTAGTGCTTAGATAATATAAAGGTACAATGTAATAAAGGTATATGAGTACATAAGAAGTTTTATCACTGGTTCAGAGTTTGACATAACCCAAATGTCGTACTGCACACAAGACTGAAGGAAAGCTTTTACTGGGAAAACATATCGCACCGTGTACAGCTTCATCAAGACATAACTTTATAAAATTCTACACAGCAAAAGGTTGTCGCTCCGGGTACAACTTTATTAATTTATACTTTGATAAAGCACTGCACAACAAGCAACTGTAGAAGTAAAAGCGAGTTTATAGAAGAAAGAGAGACAATGAGACGTGGAAGAGACAGCAGAGAGCTGTGTTCTGCAACATGTGTCTTTTCTTCAACTTAAAATGAAACATTGAACAACTTAAAGATCACCAAGTTCTAACCCAACTTTTTTTTCCTCTCTCCACAGGCAGCCGGGATGTGGGTATGGGCGTGGGTGCTTGGTGTGGGCGTGCTGGTGGGCGCCGCTGCTGGACAAGGGTGAGCAACCTGCTCTGGTACAGTCTAGTCAATTCTCTCTCTCTCCAACTCAAGCTTAGGGGAGGGGGTACCTCGATGCTGAAGGGACCTTGATCCAAGGCATTTGAGCTGCACTTCCCTTCCTCGAATCAAACCAGTTTATCCCCCTCTTGTTTCCCCAGCACCTCTCTATACCCCTTACGGGTTTTGCGCTTTCCAGTGAATATAACCATTTCGAGTTGTGTGCTTTAACATTCTTCAGAATGCATGCGTTGTAGCTGTTGTGGAAATTGAAGCTGTTGAAATTGTAGATGATGTAGCTAATTGTGGGTCAGAGCTTTCATTCAGTTGTCAGTTGACCTGATTTCTCTAATGTGTATTTGTTGTGAGAACACACTCCGAATACTTGACTGACTGGTGGAGCTATGTTCTTAAGAAGGTGCAACCAGAGTGCTTGTCTTAAGTGTAATACTTGTGTAGTATTATATAAGTAATAGTAACATTTATAGTCGTGGTACCTTTCTACGTTGACGTCAGCTGGCGATGGCTGTCCGTCTTGCGGAATAAGAGTTTTCAGGTTTAATGAAGTTTGGTCAGGTGAGAGATCTTGAGAACACTAGCTTTGTATATAATGTACAAAGGTCTGTAAAAATGACTTCAGGGGAAAGATGCCTTGATGCTGGTGAGAAGCTCTTGATTCAAGGAATTGGGGCTAGCCTTTACTCCCTCGGATCGATACCTAATTGCTTCCCGTTCCCCAGGAGCTGCATAGCACCTGCGGTTTAGTGCTTACTCTATGTAAATAATCTGCACGGCATTATTAACAGTGATTGCAAAATCAGACTTTTCCCGCAGGATAGATATTAAATTAACCTGCCGGACCTTTATCGCACGTTCTCACTCCACCTCCAGTCATTTTCACTACATCTTCAATCATTCTCACCATATCTTCAGTATTATCGTTAGGCATAACACAAACGAACTTCACAAAAGACTTTCTTTAGATTATTAACCACAACGTTCATTAAAAGCAGGATAACCCAGGAAAGACTTACACCTGTGTCTGTTTGAAACATTTAGTTCTTCCCTGGGACTCTTAGGTCCTCTTCCCTGGGACTCTTAGGTCCTCTTCCCTGGGACTCTTAGGTCCTCTTCCCTGGGATTCTTAGGTCCTCTTCCCTGGGATTCTTAGGTCCTCTTCCCTGGGACTCTTAGGTCCTCTTCCCTGGGACTCTTAGGTCCTCTTCCCTGGGACTCTTAGGTCCTCTTCCCTGGGATTCTTAGATACCTGTTTGCCGTCAGATGAACATGGCTGCCTGCATTGGTATATGATTACAGGATAACTTTTTAAATTAACGTCATTGTGTCCACCGATACTTTTTACGTAACACTTGAATACTTCCAGCACGTACTGGAGCTCTTTTACGCAGGTTCTAACATTTCAGAAAAACGAATTTAGCACAATTTTTCCCTGGATATAACTCACACCAGTCGGCTAACACACAGGTACTTATTTGTTATTACTGAGTGGGTAGGGTTGTAAGGGAACTGGTTCATGTTTTTTTTCGGTACCAGGGAATCGAATCCGGGACCTTGCGATTGAGAGTCAGTTTCTCTCACCAGAGAGCTGTTTTCCACGGCTTCCATAGGCCGACTAATCCATATGTATATTACTCTTGAGAGAAATATTTTTTCCTGTTGTGTTCTACAACTGTCTTAAGCATTTAACTGCGGCCTCTTGTTTGCGTCACATTCGACATGAAAAAAAAAAGTGGTCAGGGTTTATCAAACTTGTTCATAATGATTGAAGATTACTTACGAAGTTGTGAACATCTAGTTCACTCGAACCTTTCCAGTTCTTGACTCAGCCGAAGACGTCAATGCAGCATTCCCTGCACCACTCTATTATTATAATAATAATAATCTTTATTCCTACAAGTACATGATACATCAGTGACATTCTATATAAAAAGCCTCTGGTTATGCAGAAGAACCCATTATGTATCTCTGTAATCCTTTGCCTACCGCCCACAGGATGGATATGGGGTGCATAAGGATATTAAACCAACTTACGCAGAACATTTCAGGCAACGTAAGTTAATCTTGTCCCCCAGGATGCGACCCACTCCAGTCGACTAACACCCAGGAACAGGAACAGCAGATACAAGGAAACACGCCCTGTGTTTCCACCCGTACCAGGGATCGAACCACGGACACTCGGTGTGTGAACTGATTGCGTAAACAACCGAGCCTAATTTAACGTAAAATAAAGAAAACACTGTTTGGAGAAAATAGGAAACTTTTAAGAAATGATGTTGAGCAAAACGTCAAAAAACTGACGTTTTAAAATGAGAATGTGTTGAGCCGTGATACCCCCTTCGCAACTCAGTCGGGCCTCCACGTTTGGTACCGTGTGTGAAAATGCATACTCCAAAATTTTCATGTACACCTCGTGCTGCCAGACGTAAGCCACCGGTTATCGTCGACAAATTATACAGATATGTAGGTCGATATATGGTAGCCTAGCTAAAACACAAGTAACGTAACCCAACTGATTATAAATAATAAAATTACATTAAATTTCAGCCGTGCAAAAATGTACGAAATGCAATTCTTGCGAAACTGGCTGCCCTAAGTGTAGAACGAGTTGCCATGTCATGACCCGGTGCCAGACGTATTAACACACGCCAGCCGTGCTTTCTCCGCTGCCAGACACGTCAAGACCATCCTCTTGTCCCCCTTTTCCAGACAGACTTGGTAATCCCTCCATTGCCAGACGTTACATAACTGCCAGGTATTGCACAGTGAATATGCATTGTTTTAACATATATAATATAGTCCAAAATTCCCCCCTTCCCCTCTCATTTTCTTTTCTGTCTCCTGTATATAATTATATAATTTATGTTGCCCCACCCTGAGACAATAGATATATTTTTAATAATAAAAAAAAACATTTGTTTTGGTAATGGGATAAGCCATCTTAGAGATGGTAATTCCCAAATAATACAAACTCCAGCTGAGCTTAAAAGAAACTTTTGAGGCTTCCGTAGCGAATGAATACTTAATAAGAGGAATACTGAACGATATCCTTATTGCCCTCAGGTTGGCCGATTTCGACCCTGATATCCACTTTGTCTAATGGAATAAGAAAGAAAAGAACATTATGTTCCCACTATGTAACTATCACACGTCTGACATCAACAGATGCCAGACGTGTCACCCCAGTTTCCCCCCTTCTCGCTACCGGCAGTGTTACCCTCGCTACCGGCAGTGTTACCCTCGCTTCCGGCACTGTTATCTCCGCTGCCAGCAGTGTCAGTTCCGCTGTCAGCAGTGTCAGTTCCGCTGCCGGCACTGTTATCTCCGCTGCCAGCACTGTTATCTCCGCTGCCAGCAGTGTCATTTCCGCTACCGGCAGTGTTACCCCTGCCGGCACTGTTACCCTCGCTTCCGGCACTGTTATCTCCGCTGCCAGCAGTGTCAGTTCCGCTGTCAGCAGTGTCAGTTCCGCTGCCGGCAGTGTCATATCCACTGCTGACCTCCGCTGCCGGCAGTGTTACCTCCGCTGCCGGCAGTGTTTCCCCCGTTGTTGGCAGTGTAACCCCCACTGCCGGCAGTTTCCCCCAGCAACCAGACGTTTCACTCGTTGCCAGATGTGCAGCATCCCCCCCCCTATTGCTTGACGCAAATATGGGTTGTACTTGCCCCTGCCCCGCTAGGTTACTCACTCAGAGCACTGAAGGTGTGTTTGTCTTGCTGGCGTGGGCGTCAACCAAGGCCGTGCCAGTGAGGTGTGTGGGCATACTCACCACCTGAACAGGTTTATCCTCAGTTTACTTTTTTTTTATTTAGAAAAGTTGTATACATAATCTGCTTCGTCCCTTTTCTATATGACAGTTATATAATAGAAACAAAAGTCATGGCTTCCTGTGTGCGTGTGTGTATCCATATGTATGTATAGATATGTTTGTGTATACACATGCATGGACAGCTGTCCTTGCCATTTCCTCTTTCAGTGTATTGCACTGCTTCCAGGTCAATGTTTAGATTATGACATCTATTTTACTTGCATGTATTTGATGTGTTGGATATATCATTGTGATGAAGTATGGATAAAGAAATATTTATTCCCTCGTACCTCGCTAATTTATATGCGTCAATTATTGTTCCATTCGTGTGCAGACTACTATGGGTGTAATAGGAGTATGGTGTGTATAATTGTATTGTGTACTCATCTGATTATCCATGTGTGCATTAATTAATGGAATGGAACTTGGCTCTGCCCTCGGATGCTGCCTACACAACACCCATTTACATCCCCTTAAGCATGATTCTAATGACATAATATGACAACACTTCCCCGTGGGTCCTCTGCCACACCTTCCCTCCCACTCTCTTTCCCTCCATCCACCTGCACCACACCTTCCCTCTCGTCTCCTTACCTCCACCTGCGTCGTGTCGTCATCAAGGATATCATACTAAACACTAACATTTCTCGAGCTTCCTTCAACCTGTGGTAAGAGGAGGGAGGTGGTGGTTGAAGAAAGTGGGAATTGTTGTTGAGGGTTGGATGTTGATGGAGGAATTGTGTCGGGGGGTTGCAAGATGGTGGTGATGGCCAAGCCTCTGCCACTCCGCCCCTCCTCTCCTCCAACGTCCAGTAGGAGGCGTAGGGGCGGGTTTCCCTAAATGGCAACTAAGGACCTTCACGTTCTTTAAACCTCACTGGAGAAATCATCACACAGTCTTGCGATATTTGAACAAAATCATCTATTTTGTGATTTGTTGGTGCTTGTGCATGATGAGTGTTATTTGAACACAGTTGAGTAGTGTTTATTTGAATATACTGTCAAGCCATGATCAGATGGTGCTTGAAATTAAAACTATGATTATGCAAGAGTTCAATGTTAGTCATGGCTGCCTGTGAATACCATACGCAAATCTAGACTTTGTTAAAGAACATACTCAACCTATATGTAAAGTAAAAGGACACTAGTGCAACTAACTTGTGTCCTTTTACT